GAACTATTCTTTTCCTCCTTAATCATGTGAGCCATATTAAGCTGTTGCTCTATTCATAGAGGAGTAGCCTAAGTTTTCTTGTTAATGGTACTGTTCCTGAATGTCGAAATGTAGTACATTCGCTGTGCAAAGAGGTGATTATGGGTGCTACAATGTCACAGAACCACCATGATGCACCTCGAGATCCAATGTACAAATCTGAGAGGGAGATTCATAGGTATGACTGATGTTTTGTTGTATGATATTTCCAGCTATTTCTTATAAACCGCTGTAAATTCTTTAGTTTCTGGTTGTACCTGTCACAAAACAAAACACAAGGACTCCAACATGTAAATATGTAAAACTGTTTCAATTTATTGCTCTAAAGTTTATTTTTATGAATAAAAATCCTTAGCAACTCATTAATTGCATCTTAACTTCTGGCTTTTTGTTGGCTTGTACTCTGACTAATCATCTGTTGGAGGTGACTTGTTTACTACTAAAAAATTTGATAATTTCTGTTAGATAAGACTGCAATAGAGGAGAATAAGTGTCATTGGACACTTCTTTTTGCGATTGGTGTTTGCTTTACAGATTTAGAAGATGAAAGGACCTTGCCTTAAAAAAAGATTTTCTGTAAAGAAGTAATGTTTTGGAAACATATTCACCATGCTGATATATGTTGCAGGTATTCCTGACAAAGCATTTCAGAAACAGGAGTTGGGTGACCCAAGTTGTGCTCGATTTGAGGAAATTGTTATCGATTCTAAAACAAAGTCGATTACCAGAGCTAAAGTTTTGGTATGCATTTTTTAGTGTTAAATTGATGTAGTCCTGTGTAATGTTGCTTCTTGAATTCAAGTTTTCTACATCATTTTGGCATGCCTATGATGTATTTTTTAACTACAGAAGATGTGTTGATCATGAGTTGGAGTTCTGCTGTTTTGCACTTTGTAGGATTGCCTGCGTCTATTAACACAGAAGTTACTATTCAATCCTTAAAAGGACAATTGCTTGTTTTTATTTATTTTTTCTTTTATTTATGATCTACTGGTACTTATGGCCGGATTTATGTTTTAATAGTCAATGTGCTTCTTATAGGTCACAGTTCCAAGAAGCAGAGAAGAAAGAGTGATTTACTGTAATTCGTGATAAGGGAACTCCTTCAAAATATTCATGCAGTGAGTATCTCTTTACCAAACCCCATTACCTTTCATCAATAAGTAATAATGTCTGATTCACTGCTCTTTCTATGCTTTTAGAGCGAAAAAGATGATCCTACCACTGTGATAGAGAGAGAAGAGTGGGTCAAGACCAGGCAAGACATGGAGAGACATCTAGAAAGCTGCGGGATTTCAGCACTTCAAATTGGTTCTGATCAACCTGCAGAACTATGTTATCTTTTCATGGAGATAAATATGCAACAGAATGCAGAGTGGTTGAAGGTGGGCAGTCGCTCAAACACTTAAGATTTGACTGGAGACCATAGCAATCGTGGGCTAAAAATTCTGTTGATTCCGAAAATTGTGTAAGTTTCTTAAGAGGAGTGTAGGCATATTCTGTCTTCCATTTTGTTTGTGGAAGTTGCTTTACCTTGTAAATTCGTGTTGTATGATATGGCTTGTAGATTTTACATTGTTAATGGCTACAACAAGTCGGCTGCTTACAAAGTTGCATGCTCCTGTAGATGTTCTTAATGAAAGACAACAATTCATCATTGGAATAGTTATTTAAAATAACATATATTAATTAGCTGATTGAATCAAAATGTATGATTTACATTCTTTTGTCACTAGAATTGTTATTGGGGGTCATTAAACTTCTGTAAAAATGACAAATCATGCAATTCCCAAGTAAGGACGATAGTAGTTACTGATACGACAAGTCATTACTAATTCAATGAAGCAAAAATTGAGCGGCAGGTGATTGGCCAACAAAAACATATTGAGACATGGACCCTTCGAGGAAATTAAATGTAAAATTCATTATCATCATTCTGCCGCTGGTTTACTTTTGAAGATCTTGATTTTGAAAATATACCGAAATAAGTCGGCTTATGGCGTGAATATTTGTTGCATATCTCAATGAACTATGAATTAAACTCATGAACAGATATTAAATACGAGCTCGCGTATTTTTGCAACAAATTGTGTTGTCATTAGCAGCAAAGCACTAAAACTTCGGTCCAATATAGTAGTTGTTGTAGTTAAGATATATTGACTATTTTTTATGACAACTGTTTAATAAATCCATTTAAAATTAATCAACTTTCAATTTTAAAATTCTAACTAACTTTGAGTAGTTGAGTGGCTGGATAAGGACTTTTGAATGTATTACTCAGAGATCCTGAGTTCAGATCTCATCGATTGTTAGAGTAGTGGTAATGATGAGTAGTCACTAAAGCGTTCAAGGTATCAGAAGTTAGTTGAATACGCATAAACTGATCGAAATACCCTTAGACATAAAAAAAAAAAAAAAGAAAAAAAATCATGAATCATGATTAATGTACAAACTCGCATATTTGCAACAAATTTCAGTGTCATGAGCAGTTAAACACTAAACTTTTTATAATGGTTGTAGTTTAAGAAAGTATCAATATTTTTTTATGTTATTCAACAACTATTTGATAAATCCATCTAAAACTATATTAGAAAAAGTAAGTTGTGTTGCTTTTGGCAGCCTGTAAAATGTTTTCAATCAGTAAAGGCATTTTATACTTATTTTGAATTTGAGATCTTCATGAATTTATAATTCGTTAATTTGGAGCACCTGCACTTTGTAAAAACGTTTTCAAACAATAAAGCATATTTATGTAAGTTAGATATCATCTATAGCAATATAATATCTTTAAATTTTTCCCCAAAATCAAAGAGAAATTTTAAAATTAAAAAAAAAAAAAAGGTGTGCTTGAGGTGTATTATGTACAAAAACAAAGCAGCCCTAAGTTGCATTTTTTGTTCAGAGAGTCCTCCATGGAGTTGTTTAAGTGTTTGAGCCATAGCGCCAACTCCACTCTAGCTAGGGTTTTTCCGTTCGATTCGTCCCATGTAGATGTACTAGTACTGAAGAATTAATGAAAAAAAAAAAAAAAAAGGTGTGCTGGAGGTTGTATTATGTACAAACAAATGCAACCCTAAGTTGCATGGTTTGTTCAGAGAGTCCTCCATGGAGTTGTTTTAAGTGTTGAGCCGTAGCTCCAACTTCCAACTCTAGCTAGGGTTTTTCCCGTTCGATGGAGAGTTAGGTGACAGTTTTTGACTCTGGAATCATATTCGTCCCAGTAGATGTACTAGTACTGAAGAATTAATGAAAAAAAAAAAAAAAGGTGTGCTTGAGGTTGTATTATGTACAAAGTACAAACAAATGCATCCCTAAGTGCATGTTTTGTTCAGAGAGTCCCCCGTGAGTTGTTTAAGTTGAGCCATAGCTCCAAATTAACCCTAGCTAGGGTTTTTCCTGTTGATGAAGAGTTAGGTTGACAGTTTTTTACTCTGAAAATCATTATTCTTTCCTTAGATAATGGGGCACACACTTCTATCTTGACACGTGTCTAGTACGTACGACCGATGTTGATTTGATGTTACGTATCAAGCTCAAACCTAGAGATGGTTTATTTCCTTTCCTCCTAAAGCTTTGGGAAACCTTTGAGTTACCGAAACTTTCAGAAGATAACAACTGAAACAAAACAATTGGTCAGTTAACACTCTTTGTTTAATTATATATTCTTTTCAATTTTATTTAACTATAAAAAATTGAAGGAAAAAAAAAAAATCTAAAACTTGTTCAAAAAGTTTAGTATCCTTTATTCTTATATTCTCTCCCATTTTATTTTCATATTTTTTAATTAAATTTAGTTTTTTTATGTTTAGTTTATTGCGTTCAATTGTAATATAGTATATAAAATTGGTGAATAAATATTATTGTTATATAGGAAAATAAAAATGAAGAAATTAAAACTGAAAAGAATATATAATTAAAAAGAAAAAAAAAAAGGTATTATGGTAAAGTAACCCATCCATGGGTGTGTTGTGTACTTTGATCAAATATGAGAAGGAAATTGTATAAACCCCTAGAGACAATAAATGAGGCATGTTAGTTTTGTAACAAGTTAAGACAATCTGTTGTCTTGTCCAAGTTCCATATTCCCTCGTACACTAAACTCTTTTGATTAAAAAAATCAGTCTCACAAAACTAGATGCAGAGAGAGTCATAGAGACCAATGGTTAAGAAGGAACTAACAAAGCCAAACAAAAAGATTATCCTAAAATAATTAAATTTGCTGACAAGTGAGACCCTTTTGTCTATTTCTTTATAATTGAGAATATGATTAAAGGTTGCTTCAATTTCATTTTTAATTTACCAAAACACAGCAAAATCTGACACATTGAAATAAGAATATTGTTCCTGCAAAGACAAAGAATTTTAATTTCATGGACACCGGATCCCATAATTGGCCTACTCCAATCTCCTCCTACAATAAATTTGGCATTGTCATAAGTTTTATTAAAAAAAAACCATAAAAATTCAATTAAATATTAAAAAAAAACAAAAAAAAAATAACAATTCCCCGAGGCATGTGTATGAGTATCAGAATGAATCCAGTTTCCAACTGAGGAAGCAACATCTGAATTTGTTTGAGCCACAAAATTGTTTAAGATAAAAAATTTAAAACCAAAACCGATAGAAGAGGCCCGTCCACTGTTTTTCTGGCAGTTAGGCCAGACTGTAAAAGGCTCATGAAATCAATCAGAGGGCCAGGCATGCGTAGGCAAAATCAAATATTAGCAGAATGGGATGGGAAGGAGGAGGGGTGGCTTTCTCTGCCACTGAGAAAGTTTATTAAACTCAAACTACATTTGTCCACTACATTTATTCAAATTATAGTTTTGAATAATGAAAATACGGAGAAGGTGCATGTTTTGTAGTCAACTACATTTGTCCACTCAATCACAATCCACAAACACACTTTCCAATAGTTTTGAATAATAGACCGACCTGTCTCATTCATGGCCTAACTCTGCCACTGAGAAAGTTTCTTAAACTCAAACCAATTATAGATTATTCCTTTATTACCACTTCCAACATCTTTAATTGTCTATCTCTCATCTTCTTCATCGTCTGAAGCAACCAACTCTCATCTTCTTTATCGTAAAGCAACTATCTCTCATCAACAAATCAAAACAGGAAGAAGAAGGTGAAAAAATTACTGAGATGGGGAGAGGAAAGATTGAGATCAAGCGGATTGAGAACTCAAGCAACAGACAAGTGACTTTCTCAAAGAGAAGAAATGGGATCCTAAAAAAAGCCAAAGAGATAAGTGTACTCTGTGATACTGAGGTTTCTCTCATCATCTGTTCGAGTTCTGGAAAGATGCATCAGTATTGTAGTCCTTCGACTACGTAGGTTTAATTTTTGCTTTTTTCTTTGATTTTTGATAGACTTTCTTTGAGTTTAACCTCTTTTTTATTAATGGGTTTTGAAAAATTGTGGTTTTTTAATGGTGAAGTTTGGTCGATATTTTGGACAAATATCACAAGCAATCTGGAAAGAAGCTCTGGGATGCTAAGCATGAGGTATATAAAATATAAAATATTATTAATATATTTTTCGTCAACCCTTTTTCTCTGAAAGAATCTCAAGTTTCATGCATGTCCGTAAAGGTTAAATGGCTTGTTTCTTTTGCTAAAAATATGATAAGAAACCTCAAGTATGGATTATATGAACAGATTTGTATTGTAGCATTTTCTTCTCTTTCTCTCTCTGGGTATTTTATTGTTATTTATAGAAAAAAGAATCATCAAATATAAAAACAATGAACAGATCTGGACCCTCTGGTAATAAAAAGTCATTTCTTTCCCTTCCTTTTCCTTGCAAAGATTGTAATAACCGTGTGGTAGTTAGTTTTTCAAGTCAAATAATTAAACAATGATAAATATGTTTTTAATCTCCTCTTTTACCTGATTCATAGAGATATCTCTAGGGTTTTTTAAGTCAAGAGAGAGGGTTAGTGTAGATTACACGTAGATCTGTTCATGAACTCTCTCTCTCTCTCTCTTCTTGTGTTGGGGTTTGGGGAGGATTAAGGAGAGTCTTTCTTTNGAAGATTTATGAGTACTGTAGCCCTTCGACAACGTATATTTAATTTCTGCTTTTTTTCTTTGATTTTTGATGGATTTTCTTTGCGTTTAACCTCTTTTTTATTAATGGGTTTTGAAAAATTGTGGTTTTTTAATGATGAAGTTTGGTCGATATTCTGGACAAATATCACAAACAATCTGGAAAGAAGCTCTGGGATGCTAAGCATGAGGTATATAAAATATAAAATATTATTAATATATTTTTCGTCAACCCTTTTTGTCCATCATTTTCTCTGAAAGAATCTCATGTTTCATGCATGTCCGTAAAAGGTTAAATGGCTTGTTTCTTTTGCTAAAAATATGATAAGAAACCTCAAGTATGGATTATATGAACAGATCTGTATTGTAGCATTTTCTTCTCTTTCTCTCTCTGAGTATTTTATTGTTATTTATAGAAAAAAGAATCATAAAATTAAACTATATATGAAGTATATAACAACGATGAACAGATCTGGACCCTCTGGTAATAAAAAGTCATTTATTTCCCTTCCTTTTCCTTGCAAAGATTGTAATAACCGTGTGGTAGTTAGTTTTTCAAGTCACATAATTAAACAATGATAAATCTGTTTTTAATCTCCTCTTTTACCTGATTCAGAGAGATATCTCTAGGGTTTTTTAAGTCAAGAGAGAGGGTTAGTGTTGATTACACATAGATCTGTTCATGATCTCTCTCTCTCTCTCTTCTTGTATTGGGGTTTGGGGAGGATTAAGGAGAGTCTTTCCCTTTATGATGAAGTTTTGTTTTGTATTGTTCTGTCTGATGATTATAGTTAAATTATCTATTAAGGTTTTTCTTTTGATGAAAAATATGAAAATAACTCATGATACAGAACCTCAACAATGAAATTGACAGAATCAAGAAAGAGAATGATAGCATGCAAATCAAGCTCAGGTAATAATAATTAAAAACTTTAAACTTAATTAATTTTATCTCTCTCTCTCTCTCTTTTCTCTCTCTTTCAATATTATTTCAACTCTATAACATGGTTCTGCAGACACCTCAAAGGAGAGGACATCACATCCTTGAACCACAAAGAGCTAATGGCCATGGAGGATGCACTGGAAAATGGTCTCTCCGGTATTCGTGAGAAAAAGGCTAGTAGTGTCTAATACTTGATTATAATATGATTAAATATGTTTATGCACTTACTGAAGCTCTTAATATATCCAGCAACTTAAACGAGTTCTCAAATCTGTTGTTTATGATGTTTTCTCTTTTTTTCTTGGTGACAGAACGAGAAGATAGAGGGGATGAGGAAAAATGTATGTACAAATAAAACAATAACTTATAAGTAAATTTGTTATGTTCTTAAATATGGATGAAAATTTTCATATCAGATTAACTTGGACAGTTTTTTGCTGAACTTTCAGGGAAAGGTGTTGGAGGAAGAGCACAGATATCTCCATTTCGTTCTGGTATATCATATATTCATCTTCTGTTTTTGTCAAATATGAAGTAAATCTGCATCTTAAGAAGAAAAAAATTATTATATAAATAGAAACTCAACATTGGTTTAAAATAAGATTTTCAATAGAGGTCCACACTTTCTTGAAGTATGAATGTTCATCGTATTAATATATTTTAAGATATATAAAGAATGCATAGCTTATTTATAAAGCATTTTGATAACTTTCTCTTGTCTATGTTTTTGATGATGATTATGTGCAGGGGCAACAGGAGCTTGCTAAAGAACAGCGGGAGATGACAATAGAGAGCAATGTGAGAGAGATTGATACTGATCACTACACTTCACAGATGCCCTTCACCTTTCGCGTTCAGCCTATTCAGCCAAATCTCCAAAAAAGGATCTAATTAATTAAATTATAACCTCCATAATTAAGCCTCTAGTAGTACAATTTATTGTAATAAGGTTTATGAACTCTATCGGCTTCTACACTTGTGGTATGTATGGTATCATCACTTTGTGTTGTGTAGGTTTAATGGGAACTTCACTTAGGTTTAACTTCAATTATGCTGTGAAAAACACTCTAATTAATCTCTGTATCTTCTTTATATGTTCTCAGTTTTGTTTTTTTTTTTCTCTTTTGCTTTATTACGTGGACTGAATTTGAGATTAAATAATATAAATTTAATTAAAGAAATTGCATATAATTTGAACATACAAATATTAATAGATTAAAATAAACTTGTAATTTGTGTAAAATCCCCCATAATTAGCAGCCACCGCCATGTGCAACTTAAATTAATTTATGGTTTAAAGCTTAATCCAAGGGTTATTAATGATAAATAATTAGGTATTGAAAGCCTACCTTAAATCTCTGATTATAAATTCGTATGAAGATGAATTGGTCTGGTCAATGAGTTTATTAGTTAATAATTAATTAGATCAAATGGAACAATTATCATGTTTAATGAAATTATTAATTCAACTACAATGTGATTAATACTTAATTAATCAGTTGTCCACTTATTAATTAAAATGACTAATCTTATAATTAGGGTATAATTGGGCATAATCAAATGGATTCTTTATATTCGGATTATTTAGGTACCACATGGTAGAGGTGTCATTCATTGATAACAATATGTACCAACCATATAATTATATCCAATCATTTTGTCACTAGCATATAAGGTTATAAATTTTGTATTTATTAGTGGATCAATTTCAATTTTTTTTTTTTTTTTTTTTTAAGCATAATGTGATTAAATATTCTGTTCATTTTTTAATACAAAAATAATGTTTATATACAAACGAAAAAACAAAAAATGGAAAATGAAAAGGTTACCCACATACATGGCCTACTGGGCTGTCACCCATCTATTCAAAGTCCACCTCCACCCACCCCCACCCCCACCACATTCACCTTCACCACCACCACCACCACCTTAATCAAATTTCTTCATGAAAAATCTTCAGACAGAATCTCAACAGGTCCCAAATGGATTCCTCTCTTTCTCATCTCATCATCTTCTGGGGCATAGGCCCCCCACTGCCCCTACCCCTCGTCATAATCAGGTTTTTTTTTTTTTTTTGGAACATTTTTATAATCTTTTTTTTCTATAAAATATTTATAAAAATTTCTTGACCTTCCAAGTGGGGTTTCAATTGAAGTCAAATCCTGAACGTCACATCCCCATTCTTATCCTTGGCGATTTCTCATCATCTGGTTGACATCTTGGGAGAAAGTGATATCCTATTTCAATTGACAGATAGAGATTAGCGTTAATGACAAACTATAATTTTACACTTGAATCAGCTACCTAATCTTATTTAAATTTAATTTAATTAAAAATTACACAATTTAGCCATGTGTTAAACTCAGCCTTAATTCTTGGCCTCACTAATTAATTATAAACCATATTATTAAATTAATCTGTCTCCTTAGAAGAAACAAGGATATCACTCGCAGCTTATCTAACATTTAAACTTTGTCTTAAAAAAAAAAAAAAAAAAAAATTAAAATGGAGCTGCCTACCATCTGATTGTGACGGTTTGAAGAATATGCCTGAGAGTAATTAAACTGCTGCTGCTGGCTGTAACCGCAGGCTTGACCATGGCTAGACATCGACGAATCATCGAGGGTCGATACACACCGAGCTGGCACTCCATGTTCACCCCAAATAGCCTTAAAGTCTTCGAATTTCCAACTGGGTTCTCCACCACAAACCCTGAAATGGCACAATGCGTGAATGTAAAATCCAATTAAGTAAAAAATTTATTTACCCTAGAGGTATTTTTTCTGTTTTTACGAATAGGGCTAAAATGGGAATAAAGAATAATAATAATAAGAATTAAAGAAACACAAACCTGCATGAAGAAAGTCAGGTTGGTGTGGCACAGTAATTCCATGGGGTTGAGCAGGAGGATAAGGATGTGGTGAGCCTGAATACAACCCTATGCTCCACCCACCGCCACCGCCGCTACCACCACCACCACCACTACCACTGCCGCTAGTAGAATCCGGGGCCACCGTAGCGCCGCGTCGTCTCCACCCTATAAACAACCTTTGGCCATCGGTCCTGTTGCGCTGGAAAAGAATTATATCGCCGGCATCTAATCTCTTCTCCTTGACGTATCGGCTCCACCCTTTCGTCAACACATAGCTCTGGCTACTGTTCCAATACGAGTATCGAAAACTCCAGCACTTCCCGGACTCATCCTTAAACTCAGTAACAACCCTTTGTCCCCTGCGTCGCCACCGCCGCCGAGTGGAAAGTATTTCTCCGCGTTGTGTTTGGGTATCACCAGACGGTTGAGCTTCCCCACGTCTCGCGAAGTTAAGGGCTTCTCAAACATGGGTTCTTTCTCAACCTCGGCTTCCCGTTCTTGGCTGGTGCCAGGAGGGGCATCTGCCTCATCTTGCCCCTCCTGTTCTTGTCCACAGTAGTTATCTTGGTTAAGATTAAAGTTGAAACCTTGATGATGACGGTGAGGATGGTGATGGTGGAAGAATTGTTGATGGGAAGGCCAAGAATTGAATTGCTGTTGTTGCTGCTTTGAAGAAGAGTTGTGATGTTGATGAGTGGATTCCATATTTAAGGATTGTTGTTGGTGGGGAGGCCAGCAGGGGGTTTCTTGTAAGTCAGTGGAGAAATGGTTGATGGACATGATTGGAAGGCGAGAAAGTGAGAAGGAAAATAAATTGGGAGAAATTGGGAGAGGAGTGGAGGGGGCAAAGGATGACTTATTATGGTGTTGATGAAGAAGAAAGTGTGGGGATATTTGATGGAGCAAAGAGAAGAGATATGACAAAACGAGAGAGAGAAGAAGGAGAATTGTGAGTTAGTACGAGAGTACTTTAATGTTTTGCGTGATGAAAAATTCAATCATTAGTTTCAGTGTAATTTCATGTACTTGTTTTTTCACTTTAAGATTTTGAGGATATTAAAATAAATTATTGCGTTTAAATAATTTTACCGAACTGGGGAGTCAGGGCCGGCATAAGGGTGGGCAAGTGAGGCGCCTGCCTAGGGCCCAAAAAAAAAAGGGGGCCCAAATTTTTTATAAATTTTTTTTTTTTTTTTAATATCTTACAAAAATGAAAATGGTTTATAATTTCTTATCTAAGTCAAGGGACCCCCCAAAAAAAGCCAAAAAAGCTCAAATTTATTATAAACTTTTTACATATATTCCCACCCAAAGTTTAACAAAATAGCAAGTTTGTACCTCTAGTTTTATATATTCTAGTTTATACCCTTAAATTAACACATTGAATCTCTTTTAATAATGGAAGACTAAAATAGTCATTTACATATCTCAAATTACTCACCTCCAATTCAATCCCAAAATTTGACATTCACATAAATCATCTCCAACCCTCTTCTGTCGCCAGTGGTTTGGAGTTGATTTCGGTCAATTTTGGTTCCGGTCGATTTTCTCACCAAAATCATCATTTTATCATTTCCCAACCTTGATAGCCCTCGATTTGACTAATTTTTGATGAATCTCGCAACCCAACTCCACCACATGACAACCATTTCCAGCCTTTTTGACATGCACCCGACATTGTTGGCCTTCCCCGACACCACCATCTTCCTCCCCTCAGCTCTCTCACCAAAACCCCTATCATACCTTATCCGTTTACTTTGCCAATCGCAGGCCATCGATACCTTTTAGGCTGTGACTTCTCAATTCTTTTCTTATCAATCTTGACATTGGAAATCACTCATTTCACCACCTATCACTTCTCTAACATCTACTCTTCAAAACCCCCCACCGACCTAACCTTGTTAGCTTGCCGATTGCTGTCCATTTCTCCTAGTGATTTTTCATCTCAAAAGGCAAAAAAAAAAAAAATAATAATAATAATAATTTTTTTAATATATGCTTATATTATTAGAGGGTCTCAAAGTAATTCCTGCCTAGAGTCACAAATGTTCTAGAGACAGCCCTGCTGGGGAGAACATGTATATATCTATATCTCTAGTCTACATGAATCTTGAGAAAGAAAGAGAGCTAAATATTTAATTAATTGATTAATTTTTTTATTTTTATTGGCAAATTTAAGAAACACCCCAGGTTACTATACATTGACAAACAAGTCAATTGGGGGAGGGTCCAACCTGAAACTTCCATCCAACGGCTGTGCTATCTTTTGGGCTGTCCAGATCTTCATTTAACCCAACAATTGGGAAAATAACTTGTTAATCATTAACTAAATTCCATATCTAATTAACAACTTACATTTGGGTTTCTCTTGCTCATCATCTTTTATTCACCAATTGGGTAACTTCTATTTCTGGTTTTTTTTTTTTTTTTTTAATTTAAAAAACGCTTTTTTATTAGTAAAAAACAAATTTTCATAATCTATAATGCAAGAATTGAGTGGTTTATAAATCAACAACATTGTTCCTTTCCGCAAAACTAGGTTTTTATGTTCTAAGTTGATTTCCAATTGACTTCGATGGTGAATATTCAATTGATCACCACCATTCGACCCATTGGCTTGGGTATTAATGAAATACAAACTTTGGGTGGGAAAGTGGTAGTTTGAAACTTTGTGGGTGAGAAATTGTCATTAAGACAAACCTTGGGTGGGAAAAAGTTGTTTACTCATTATCTTATATTCAAACTAGTAATTTAAGTTACACAAATGCAAACATTAGTTTCACTAGTAAATTTCAAACATTTTCCACTACTTTTGAGATTGATGGTAGGGTAAACATTTACAAGCATGTGATAGAGATAACAAATATCCTTGAAATAATAGTAAAAAAAAAAAAAAAAAAGAACAAATGGGTGTGTTAGGAATATTACCAAGGAGTGGTTCTTAAATGAATTGGGTCTTGTATTTGATCATATTTTTAATATATAAAATGAATTTGAGGAAATGTATATATGAAAATGAATAAAGAGAAGAGACAATAGTCACGTGCATGACAGCATTATTGATGTTTGGCCATTCCTAGTTTTATAAAGAGAGAAGAATGAAACGATTGGGAGGTCTGAAATAAAATCCCATAGATCCCTCTCCTTTTCCTTTTCCAATGAGCAGAAAGATGAGATAAGATTTGTCCAATTGGAAACCCCTTTAGGCCATTTTTATTAAGTCGTGTTTCAATCCTCTCCTCACACTTACATTTCTCTCTGGCTATTTGTTTCTCTTTTATATTATATATAGTTCTTCTTCTTCATCAATCTTCATGTCATGTTTTATTTATTTAGTCATTGAGATATGTCTGTTTCAGACAAAATCCACCTTAGTTTCCAGGTAGATTCAGACACCCTTTTCAGCCCTTCAAAAGGTTGGACAAGTTGTTAATCTCTTACAATTATAGAGCTTTACATAATTCCTCTAATACAAACAACTTTTCATTCACTCTTATCTATTTCCATATCTAAAACTAACTCTTAATCAACAACGGTGACCCCTGGCCCTAATAATTAATCACTTTCATTTTAATATTATCTTTTCTTGTATAATTTATTACAACTTTAGAAGAAGGGTTTATTATATTAGGATTAGCTTTTAAGAAAATCCCTCTAGTATTAATTTACTAGAAAAAGCTTTAATAAACAACAATAAATTAAATCAAATTTATAAAACAAAGTTATTTTTCTGCTTGTCTCATAAGCCGTAAAATAGATTATTTAAAAATTTATAAACAGGCTAATGACAATAAATTCATTCGACCAATAGATAAATCCAATCAAATAGGCTTTGACCGTATTTTAGTTTGGTGTTTGTGTGATTGTGATGATGTGGCTTCTCATTTGCCACGGTGGAAGTCAGTTTTTTCCCTGTTTAGTCAAACACTCATGCGACGTCGTTTTTGGCCAACCTAATGACTTATCTAATTAGGTCTTCACACTTTTGCGCAGACTCCTTCCCTCTCTCATTTTTGTTTGGTTCGACAGCTCTTAACCTTGAAGAATGTTCTAGAATTGATCTTGCGATCTTTCGGTTATGGAGAATCAAAGACAGATGGCTGATGATCAAGGAGTGGAGCATGCGTATTTAACACATGCTGGTCCAGAAGGAAGAGGCAGATTTCATGTAGCGGGAGTTAGGGTTTTACGGATTTGGTGTGTTCCTTCCTTGTTTGTTTTTTCTTATGTTCTGAGTCAATCATTCTCACTGTACTTTATTGATTGATAATGAAATCCCCAATTGTGAGCCTTGAAGAGTGGATGTAGGCTGTAAAGCCGAACCACTATAACTTGCTGTATCCTGTTTTTATGCTTGCTCTTCATATTTTTCATTTGTCTTGTGTTTAATCATTGATAGAAGACCTGTTTGCAACTGATTGAGGTTTAATCATAAACCCTAGAATCTTAACAATGATGAACTGTGAACTTTTCCCCCTCCTGGGTGGATGCATATATGAATAAAAACAAGACCCATTAATACAAATTCGTCAGCAATTCTATATATGTTTTATTGGTGCAAGAGTTTTATCTCATTTTCTTTCCTACTTTTTTCTCAATTAAAAAACCCATATGTTATGCTTAAAAAGTATAAGGGCTGACACCAGGTCCATTCAGCCCACAAGAGTCAGATCATTGGAACAACCATCGTCTGCTTCCGTCAGGATAATGGGTGCACGTCAGGCCAGTTAGGAGCTATGGTGCTCCCACGTGTCCAATCCCTCCTTTAAATCGCGCAAATCACTTTGGAAGGTGGGTAATGTGACATAAAGAGGGATTTGCACGGATAATTCCACAAACTTTCAGATTTAGTGATCATTGCCTCAATGCCTCCCACTATAAATTGGGAGCTCCTCTCTCGTTAAAGGGGGATATTTATTTTTTGGGCTTGGCATTCTACTGGTGATTAATTATTCTCTCTTTCCCTAGAATTCTTAGCATTCAATACCTTGTAATATCATTATAGTCAGTCAGTGAAAAGCGACCTGACCCTTAATATCAATATAAGCATCAGTAGACGTAGGATTTGCTACCTTAGCATCCGAACCACTTTAAAAATTGTCTCTATTGTATTTATTATCTCGTTATCCATCACTTTCACGTGTGTTTTCTGGGTCCGTCAGCATTTTTCACGTGCGTGTCGTTGGTGTAAAAATCACACATCAACAGTTTGGCGCTAGAAGGAGGGCCTGAATTTAGCATTCATCCTTTATCAGGAGAATCTCCAACTTACCGGTCCCACAACAATAAATGGCCCGCCAACCAGAACATGAATAAACCAAACAGGGTGCTGAGGGGCTCCCCCAAGTTCAGGGGGATACTTCTTCCAGAAAACCTTCAGCCTCGCAAAACGCTGCGGGAGATATCCCGTCAAGTTCACAGCTGGACCTCGCTTTAAGAAGCTACCTGGAGAGGTTTGACAATACTCTCCAGACGGTCAACCAAAGGTTAGACCGTTTGGACCAAGGCGCGCCATCTAAGTCAGCTGCAGTGATGCAATCGCCAAAAACGCTTGCAGGTCGCAGGAAAGCGCAACAAAAGGAAATAGCTGGTGTCGGGAGCACTGCAGCACGTAGACGAAAGGGTAAGCAAGTGGCAAAAAGCAAGCCCACGGGGTCCAAAGGGCCAGCAAACACCAACCGTATCCCAAACAGAATACCAGTCTCGTTGAGACTCGGTGAAAAGACGTAGCCCGACCTATCCCATGCCACGTTGCAGGTGCATGCCCATAAAAGTGCTGGACAGGGTGATTCTTATCACTGCCAGCAAAGCAATCCTGATCGTCATTATGCGAGAGGGTCCCACACTTCGCATGGCGGTTCTTACCACCACGAAGGTCGTGAAAATACCCCGCACCTTTCATCGCCATCACACGC